AGACTAAACTTAGCTCGTTTTGTATTTTCTCAATGGTTTAATGCAAACAAACTTCTGCTGAATACAAAAAAAAACAAAAACTAAAGTGATACTATATAAAACCACCACAAATCACGATATACCTTGAATATCAGATTACATGAGAAATGCATACCACTTGTATAGCCGGTAAAATTCTTAGGTGTCTATATATTCTATAGATTCGTTTTTAACATGGACAGATGAAAAGACCAAAATCTTCTCAAAGCATAGCATGCAAAGCTATGCTTAAGCATAGTTATGCTAGAAGTTTAAGGGAAAAACGTGCGTTTGCCAGCCTTTTAAAAAGAAAAAGCCTCTTTTCTTGAAGGTCCCTAAGTCGTATCGGTCCGGAAAAATCGCAAACTATTCCACAAGGAAGTTGTGCGAGGAAGATAACATCTTCTAAATCGCACAGTGGTGGACCGCCAATCATCCAGATAGTGTGGATGGTATCGGGAGTTCTGCCGCGATGTGCGTTCGTGAAATTTGTTGGCTGGGATTAATCCGAACAATTCCTCAGAGCACTCCCGGTGGTAAATGCGAAAGAAAATGCAAAGAGATGCAACATCTCTTAGCACCGCCAATGAATCGAGCCGGTCGGAAAGGACTCGGTCGTCGACGATTCGAGCGGCTCTGCACTGGATGCAGTCAAGTGGAAGGAGCTGGCACTGGGGAGCCCAAGCCCAGAGATGGGAACAGTATTCCATGTGAAGCCGAACCTGCGCCTTGTAAAGTTGCAGGCGTCGTGCCAGCATGAAATACTGTGCCGCTCTGCTGAGCACGCTACGACATTGGTATTATCATAAACTTGAGTAAAACCAAATTTATAGTAATATCATCACCATATAACCGTTCTATAAAAACTGTAGATATAGCTCTTATGGGTCACACTTACGATTGCCTGCATACTGATCGGTTTGGTTCTCTCTGCTGCTGCGAAAAGCTACAATGTGTAACGAACTACAAATATTTAGGGTTGGTTATAGATAATCGTTTCTCATGGGACTCGCATGTTGAATTAGTGTGTAGCAGGCTTAGGGCAGTTTTAGGTAAACTGAATCATATAAAATATGTTGTGAACCGAGGAATCATGTATATGCTGTATTATGCCCTGGCAGACGCAACGATCGGATATGGCTTAAGTGCATATGAACTTACTTTCCCAACTTATCTTAACAAAATAAAGTCAATACAAATAAGATTCTTAAAGATATTAGTTGATCGTAAAACCAAAAATGCTATAGATAAAAATTATGAAATGTTATTTAAAATTTGCAAAATTCTTCCCATAGACAAGAAAGTAAAATCCATTATCATATTAGAACAGCATGGTATGGTAACATTTAAGAAACCTAAGACATTTATAATGCCGAAGCGCCAAGTTACACAAAGGAGGAAATATCTCATACCTAGGGTTGAAAATTACTTTGGACGACGTACAAGACAATGGATAACTCCGACCTTGTGTAATGAGGTTGCGGGTATTTATGACGAAAACACAACTAAGTAGCAGCTCAAAACAATCTTGAGGAAACATTACCTGTCGTTGTGTCCTTAGTAGTGAATGTTTCTTTAATTATGTGTGTGTTAATTTAAGTATTTATAAGTAACTTATATTGTTATATAGGAGTGTGAAACGATAAACTGTTGCGTTGCCGACAAACTGGCATACAGTTTGGCAAAGTTTGAAATGTAAATTATGTAACACTTTTTCTAAGAATAAATTTAAAAAAAAGAAGCCTATTTGGCCTTCTCTTCCAGGTGACCACGAAACTGCACGTCACTTGATATGTCGACGCCGAGGATTCCGATACTGGCTGAGGCAACAAGGGAAGTGCCTTGAAACTGAGGTGATACGACAAAGGGGATCTTTTTAGCGGTAAACGCGCAAAATTGTGTCTTCTGATAAACTTAGAAATGAGTATATCCGTAGTAGAACCAGAGTAACCGACATAGCCCAACGAATTATTAAGCTGAAGTGGCAGTGGGCCGGCCATATAGCTTGAAGAACCGACAACCAATGGGGAAGAAAGGTTCTTGAGTGTCAGCCTAGTACCGGTAGGCGAAGTGTAGGGCAACCCCCCACGAGATGGAGTGACGACCTGGTAAGACATACAGGAATTCGATGGATGCAGGTGGCTCAGGACCGTGCTTTGTGGCATTCCTTGGGGGAGGTTTATGTTCAGCAGTGGACTTATGAAAGGCTGTAATGATGATGATGACTAGTTTAACAACCACAATGCCGCAGAAGAAAGATGTAAAAGAAAATGAAGGTAAAGAACAGTAGTTAGATATAAAGATTTCATGTGCAATGTCGTCTCCGGTAGAAATGTTCATCGGGTCAATGAACATTTTTACAGGAGATGACACCTATCCTATTGAGACATTTATTGACGAATTTGAAGATACTGCCGAAATTTTGAAGTGGACTAAAATCGAGAAGCTGGTCTATGCAAAGAGACTTTTAGGGGGTACTGCCAAACTATTTTTACGATCGTTGGGAAGAGTAAATGACTACGCAAGTTTGAAAAAGTCACTTAAGGAAGAATTTGGCTCCAAGATTAATAGCACAATCAGACACAAGAAACTTCCATCGCGTAAGATGAAGAACGATGAAACTTACTAACAATATTTCCTGTCTATGAAAGAATTAGCACTTCATGGCAAGGTTGAAGACGCTTCGCTGATTGAGTATGTCATTGATGGTATTCGTGACCTAAAAACCAATAAAGTTATTTTATATGGCGCTACAGACATAAAGGATTTTCGCAGTAAGTTGGAAATCTACAGTGCTTTTAGAACGAATGTGTCTAACAAATCGGCACAGTGTGGCCAATCACATGAGCTTCAGTCAACCCGAAAGACGATTCATGTAGAAAGATGTTATAACTGTGGTGAACTGGATCATCAATCGCCCACTTGTCCAAAGGGAATCAAATGCTTTAAATGCAATGAGTTTGGTCACAAATCAACTGAATGTACAAGCAAACCTCAGAAGACGCTGAAAATTAAAAATAAAATTGAAGAAGAGAAAGTACGCTACAAAGAGATAAAGATTAATGGTAAAGAATATGTTGCCCTAATAGACACTGGAAGTGATATTAACCTCATAACAAAATCAGAATTCGATAAGATTAAAAAGCGAATTAAAGATTATAAAACCGAATCAACGTTTATAACAGGAATAGCCGAAAAGCAAATTCTTACTGAAGGAATGTTTACAGCATATGTTCAAATTGACAATTACTATATAGATGTCAAGTTCCATGTTGTGAAAGACAACGAGATACCGGTAACTTTACTGATTGAAAATCCTATCCTTAACGATTTCGAAGTGTGTTTCACTCCTGAAGGTGTCACAAAGACAAGTGTAAGATGCATAATCTTTTGTACAAACAAAAGATTATGCATCTTACACTTCTAATAGTGGAAAAGGACAATGAACAAGAATATGATATAGGATATTCTAACTACGCGAAAAAGATTCGTAAGATGTGTGAAGAGTATAAACCTAATGAAAATAAAAAAGAAAGTAAAAACCAGAAGAACCAGTTTTTCAGAATCCCCGACGTTTGTCAGTCTTAGAAATGAATGCCGTGACTATGAAAGTAAAAAAATGGTTAGACAAGGAATAATCAAACCTAGCAAAACTGATTTCGCCTGTCCTGTAGTTCTGGCTATTAAAAAAGATGGGTCACATAGAATGTGTATAGATTATTGACGATAAATAAAAAGGTAATTAAATAAAGATTTTCCCTACCTATAATAGAAGACCAGATAGACAAGTTTAAATGGCTAAAATGTTAAAGTCCCTTGATCTGAAGAATGGCTTTTTACACGTGAAAGTACACAAAGATAGTCCAAAGTACATCTCATTCGTAACACCCCAAGGCTAGTACGAATTTCAAAACATAACTTTTGGATTTTGTACAGCGCCATCTGTGTTTCATGGATTTATTAACGGTATCTTCAGTTATCTTATTACCGATGGGACACTGCTAGTGTATCTTGATGATTTAATCATACCCTCAATGACAGAAGGAAAAAGAATAAGTAAGCTAGAGAAATTATTAAAAAGAAGCGGAGAATTCGGTCTAGAGTTTAATTGGAAGAAATTTCATTTTCTAAAGAAGGAAATCCAATATCTCGGATACATTTGTGACAACAAAGTACGAATATCTCCAGAAATGATTAAAACTGTAGCAAATTTTAGGAAGCCAAACAATATAAAAACTGTGCAGTCATTCCTTGGGCTGATAGGGTATTTCAGAAAGTTTATAAAAAACTATTCGCTGATTGCAAAACCGGTGACGGATTTTTTAAAGAAAGATACTGTATTAAATTTTGATGAAAGGTGTGAGAAAGCTTTTATAGAATTGAAACAAATATTGTGTAACTCACCAGTTCTCCGAAATTTCAATCCAGATTTAGAGACAGAATTACACACCGATGCAAGTACTGGCGGGTATGGAGCTGTTTATTCTACAAAGAAGCCCTAAAGACAATCAATTTCAGCCCGTGCACTATATGAGTAAAAAAACGACTCCAGTTTAAAGAAAATACCATAGTTATTACTTAGAAATTTTAGCTATTGTTGCTGCCATAAAGAATTTCCGAGTTTGCCTTCTTGGGATGAAATTTAAAATAGTTACAGATTGCTCTGCTTTTACTATGACACTACAAAAAAAGAACTTACCACCTAGAGTCGCTCGTTGGGCCCTGTTTCTAGAAAAATATAGACTACAAGATCGAACACAGACCGGGAACACAAATGAGACACGCCGACTCACTGAGTAGATATCTTATCTGTATGATACTTACTGAAACTACAGCTCGTTTAAAGAAAGCACAGAATGAAGATGACTATGTGAGACTGATTAAAAAAATTAGAAACAGAATAATACGATGATTATATCATACAGAACGAAATACTATATAAAGAGAAAGATGAAAGTAAATTGATTGTTGTGCCTCAGAAAATGCAGTACGGGGTAGTCAGGAAAAATTACGAAAAAGGACATTTTGGAATCTTGAAAACTGAAGAACCGATTAATAGGGAATATTTCATTGAAAATCTTACTGAAAAAATAAAAAAAGTCATAAGTAATTGTATTGAATGCATTTTCATGTCGCACAAAAGGGGTAAAAAAGAAGGATTCCTACACCCGATAGACAAAGTTAATGTCCCACTATCGACATACCATGTGGATCATCTAGGACCAATGACTTCGACTCACAAGAGTTACATATACATCCTTACCGTCGTGGATGCTTATACGAAATTTACATGGATTTACCCTGTTAAGACTTAAACCACGGAAGAGACTTTAGAGAAACTAAGACTGCAACAACAAACCTTTGGAGCACCTGAAAGAATTATTATTGTATGGGTTACCGAAAATACACAAACCAAACGCTCCACTACGTCCTATAGTAAGCCAGATCGATTCACCAACTTATAAGTTGGCTCAACACTTGGCGAAAATACTGTCACCACTAAGAGGACATACCAGAGCACACACAAAGGATTCATACCAATTTGTTAGTGAGATTAAAGACCTACATCTCGCTGACAATGAAACTATGGTCAGTTTTGATGTTCAGTCACTATTCACATGCCTACCTATTGAAGACTGCATCTCAATTGTTACTAGAAAGCTAGAAGATAACAACATGCCTACAGAATATGCAGTATTACTCAAACACTGCCTCACATCTGGCTATTTATTGTGGAAAGAAGAGTTCTACATGCAAGTAGATGGAGTGGCAATGGGCTCACCTGTATCTCCCGTAGTCGCCGACATATTCATGGAGGACTTTGAGGAGAAAGCCCTTCTTACTGCTCCTGTAAATCCAAGATTCTACAAGCGGTACGTAGACGATACTTTCACAATTTTACCATCTGACAAAGTAACTGAATTTTTAAACCACCTTAATTCCATAAACCCTAAAATACTATTCACAATGGAGTTAGAGGCAAACAATACTTTAGCTTTTCTAGATGTTTTAGTCATCCGAAATCCTGATAACACTATTGGTCATACTGTGTACAGAAAAAATACCCATACCAACCGATATTTAAATGGTGAATCTCACCATCATCCTTCACAGTTAGCTACCGTGGGAAAATCTTTGTTTCAGAGAGCACGAGGGATCTGTGACAGAAAACATCTGGCCGCCGAGCTTCAGCACGTCGAGCAAGTACTGCAAGACAACAAGCTTCGGGTCCCGCGCCTACGTCACAGTGACCGAGTGAAGCCAGCCACAGTCGAGCGTGTGCCTGCTGTACTACCCTATGTCAGAGGAGTCACAGACAAGGTTGGCTACATCTTGAAGCGAGCTTCCATTAAAACGTACTTCAAGCCGCTGAAGAAGATTGGTCAATTTTTACCATCCGTCAAGTGTCATATCCCTCTACAAGATGCAGGAGTGTACAAGCTGGATTGTGAATGTGGTCTCTCGTACATAGGACAAACAAAAAGATCTATTAAAACCCGCGTTAAAGAACATATAGCTGACGTGAAGCACCGACGTATCGGGAAGTCTGCAGTTTGTGAACATGTTCAGGATCGTCCCCGTCATTACATTAGATTTGATAGACCACAAATCCTCGCAAAAGAACACCGATTCCTCCCAAGGATGATTCGCGAGGCTATTGAAATTAAAAAACATCCTAATTTCAATAGAGAAGATGGATGGGTGCTGCCATCTGCTTGGGATCCCATAATTAATAAAATCAAATCCAAACCCAAGTATACCACTGCTAGACTTCAAGATACTGTAAGCTCATTCTGCGTAAATCGAACCAAAAATTAATATTAAAAAACTGAAGGTAGCCGGGCTAACTATGACAGCAGGACGTCAAACAACTCAGTCCCCCGTGACCACGGGTGCTGGAAAGCACCCGAAACGTCGGGAATATAAAAATAAGTTAAAAATAAGTTAATATACGCGATAAAATCCGTAAAATTAGTTTTATTTAAAAATGTGTAGTGTTCGCGTAAATATAAGAAATCAGAATTATTACTGATCGAAACGCTGCTTTTACTTCAAGAGACTTCCAGGAGTATTGTAATAGTGAAAATATAACACACTATACAATTACTACCGGATAACCCAGGGAAAACGGCCAAGTTGAGCGCATCCATCAGATTATCATCTCCGTGGTGAGCAAACTAAGTGCTGATGACCCGACTAAATGGTATCGCCGTGTGTCCAAAGTGCAACGATGTTTGAAAGGAACATACCAAAGACGTATAAGAATGATACCATTTGAACTGCTTTTTAGCACTAAAATGAGAGATAACGATGATGAACTTCAGAAATTAATAGATGAAGAAAGCATACAGAATTTTAACGAGAAAAGAGAAGAACTCAGAAAGAAGGCCAAAGAATCTATACAGAAAGTACAAGAAGAGAACATAAAAAGCTATAATAAAAGCGAAGGGCAGCAATGCCCTTAAAATTGGAGATTTGGTAGCCATAAAAAAGACACAGTTCTCACAAGGGAGTACGTTACATCCTAAGTAACTAACCACCCTATGAAGTTTTTAAATGCAATTCGAATGATCTTTATGTTGTAAAGAAGATTGGTATCAGCGAAGGCCCGATTAATACAAACACCTCAGCTGATCTCATGAAGCCGTGGATTTCGCCGGAAGACGATTCATCTGGGTCAAAAGAATGATCAGGACGGCCGATATATATAAAATTATGTCATACTTCTTCTAAAATTCTTACTATGTTAAAATAATAAATAAAAGGGTAAGACATTCCCGTACTTAAGATTTTACGTAAAATATACTGCCTTATAATGGTTGCTTGCACAGAAAATCAAAATTTTATGTTAGTATGTTTTAATGACAAAAAACTTTATAAAAAGATTTTCTGTGACCGATTTCCTTAATATCAGTAAGCTAATGCATTCTTCCTAGTAAATCCACAAGTACGTATAAATGGAAATCTTTATTATGATGGTAAAAATTTAATGAATCATGAAAAATTATAAAAATTTAATTTAATTACTCTACACAGCGATGTAATTCCAAATTCTATACAAATCACGTTGAACGTGTCTAGCCAATTATATTTCTTTAAGAGTTGGTAGCCACGCGCGACTATGATGTGCGTATTTACAATTTTACCCATATGACCTATGACTTGAAAAACTTTTAAAAGGTTGGCAGTTCACCTGCAATTCCTCTGGTATTACAGATGTTTGTGAGTCGCAGTGCTCACTTACTAACAGGTGAGCCGAATGTTCGCTCGCCCCTCCCCCCGTTTCCTTCTTAAAAGAGGATCCCTTGGTGAAAGCACGTGTATATTATACATTGCCGTGTATATTATACATTACAAGTTGCAATTGATCTTTTCATTTGTGCCAGAACCATAGATTACATTTAGATTGCTCATATAGGTACCTAATTTGAAACATCAACAAATGTCCGTCTCTTGAAATCGACTATGTTTCTATATATTATTAGTTTATTTATATTAGAAAATTGAGAAAGAATAAATATTTTTATTACTAAGTTTCGACTGAAAGATATGGCTATTTAGCGATAGGTATGCGCCTAGTTATTACTTTTGAATTATGTTAATATCCAAGCGACAACCGCCTAAGGATGTGGACTGCAAAATTCTTAAATTCTAATACACCATTCGATCACTGTCGTTAAGCTACTTTTAACAAAATAATTTTATGCTGACTTCTTCTGAGGGTCATCAATAGCGTTACTAGTATTATTTATAAAAATATACGTATTATTTATAATAATATTGAAATAACACTTTGCTTCAGATATAAAAGGTATAAGTAATAAACTATTTAAGAATTTTTAAAAATATGTGTATTATGATAAATCAATCAAAACTACTTACCATCTTTAAGTTCTTCATCGTCTGTGTCATAAAATTCTGATATTTCGGTGTAGTTGCCAAATAACAGAGAATGTATGATAGGGTCAAAATAATCATATTTGACATTGGGCACAAATCTACTAGACGCTCTCAAGATTATGAACAAATTGAGTAACAGTAGAAATTTCATCACGATGGATCAAATGAAATATGTATGATTTCAAATATTTTAACAAAGTACAAAAAAATCCTCTTTAAATATTTGTGATTTACATTAATAAATTTCTAAAATATTTAATCACTTTGTTTCTATAATCGTCATGTATACGTCACATTTTCATTACATTTAAGTTTATTGTGAACTGGAGACAAATTATCGATACTAGTATATCATTGACCTCTGAACTGATATTTGTGTACAGTGCACAAACGATATATGTAGGTAGATACCAGCTTTTATTTGAAAACATTACTTTCGTTGCTATAAATTATATTTTATTTACTTAAATTAAATTATTATTCATTAAGTACCATTTACTTACGGAGAATGAACATCTGGACCGTACTTACTTACATATTCATACAACATCGATTTTCTTTGATAATCGAAAACGCAATACGAAGCAAATGCATTCTTTTCTTTCGATTCTGAAAACAAAAAGGTACGACCTTTTTGTTTAATATTCAAAAGTAATAAAGACTAATGGTTTTTTACATTTACATGAATTATCATCATCATCATAATTACAGCCCTTCACAAGTCCACTGCTGAACATAGGCCTCCCCCAAGGAATGCCACAAAGCACGGTCCTGAGCCACTTGCATCCATCGACTTCATGCATATCTTACCAGGTCGTCACTCCATCTAGTGGGGGGACGCCCTACACTTCATCTGCCGGTACGAGGCTGCCACTCGAGAACCTTTTTTCCCCATCGGTTGTCGGTTCTTTGAGCTATATGGCCGGCCCATTGCCACTTCAGCTTACTAATTCGTTGGGGTATGTCGGTCACTCTGGTTCCACTCTGGTTCTGGCTATGCTCGGAGTTTCCACTCTGGAAACTCCGAGTATAGCCCTCTCCATAGCTCGCTGAGCGAACTTGAGCTTCCTTATCCGGTCAGTAGTGAAGGACCACGTCTCAGTTCCATATGTCATCACTGGCAACACGCACTGGTTGTACAATATCGTTTTCAAGTTTTGAAGTATACCTGACGAGAAGATGTACCGTAATTTCCCGAGCGCTGCCTAACTGAGTTGAATCCCTCGATTGACCTCTCGGTTGAAGTTGGACTTACCTAGTCGGACTATTTGTCCCAGGTAAACGTACTCGTCAACAACTTCGAGCTTAGTGCTATATGTTTATGCGAGCTTAGTGCTCCCAACAATTACCGGCATATGTGTGACATGGACATTAAACATGATCTTTGTTTTGTCCATGTTCATCTTAAGACCTATCCGTTGGGAAACACTATTGAGGTCATTGAGCATATTGCTTAGGTCCTCCAGCGATTCTGCCATAACGACTAATATCGTCGGCAAATCGAAAGTGAGTGATGTACTCGCCATTGATGTTGATACCGTATCCTTTCCAGTCCAAAAGCTTGAAAACGTCTTCCAATGCAGCGGTGAAGAGTTTCGAGAATATGACGTCACCCTGTCTTACACCTCTCTGCAATTGCATAGGTTTCGTACTCTGGTTTTGTACTCGGATAGCCATCGTAGCCCTACTGTACGAGCACTTCAATATTTCAATATACCGACAGTCAACTTGACACCGCTGAAGGGACTGCAGCACCGCCCAAATTTCTACGGAATCAAAGGCTTTCTCGTAGTACACATACGCCAGACATAGTGGCAAATTGTACTCCTCGAACTTCTGTACAATTTGCTGAAGGTTATGTAAGTGATCTATGGTGCTAAAGCCTTTTCGGAAACCGACTTGTTCAGGAAGCTGGAAGTCATCAAGTCTGCGCGCGAGACGATTCGTAATGACTCTCGAAAACAGCATGTAGACGCGGCTCAGTAGGGAAATCAGTCTGTAGTTCTTCAAGAGAGCGTTGTTGCCTTTTTTGAAGAACAAGACCACCCCACTTCTGCTCCGAACCTCCGGTGTAATGCCACCATAGAGGACGGAATTAAAGAGCTTCTAAAGGACTTCAAGTACCGCTTTTCCACCGGCTTTTAGAAGCTCCGCTATAATTCCATCCTCGCCTGGGGCCTTGCCATTTTTAAGGTGCTGGAGAGCCATTCTTATCTCGCTCAGACTGACGTCCGGGTTATCTTCGGATTAAGTTCGATATAAGACTTGATCTTAGATCGTTACTCACACTTGCGTGTGGCTCCAACGATGATGTGTACAGCTGCCCATAGAACCTATCAATCTCTCTCAAAATCTCAGGTGTCCCGGAAAGGACCCTGTTACATTCGGTCTTCAGCTTCGATAGTTGGCTTTTTCTTGCAGACAGATGTCTAGCAAAGATTTTGGAGCCCTGTTTCCGCTCGATCGCTTCTTCAATACGAGCAGTATTAAAGTTGCGTAAGTCCCGCCGCATGCATTTGGAGATCTGTCTGTTCAGTTGCCTATATGCTGTCAAATCTACTGAAGACTGCAGCTTCATATCCCGTCTAACAGCCATGAGATTAAGAGTGTGATCGGAAAGTTATTCTGTTCTTCTGCGGCGGGTCATGCAAAACTTAGCTCCGACTGCATGGACGGTTTCGTAGCTCGAGCTGAAAGGTTTCGGGACTTTGGATTAGAGCACGAGGGGGACGGAGCGTTGATTTCATTATACGTGACCTCTTAAACTTAACGTTTAGGTTCAGTGTGCCTCTCACCATTCGGTGATTGCTGTCGGTTTTAACCCTGGCGATCACTGAAACATCACTGAACAGTTGTCGTCTGGTCATCATAATAAAGTCAATCTCATTTTTGTCGAACCGTCAGGGCTCGACCAGATCCACTTCATGTGGGGCCGTTTCTGGAAGAAAGAGTTCATCATGAAGAGTTCCTCTTTCTCCATGAAGTCGGCCAGTTGCTCGCCCCTTGGTTTCCATTACCCTATTCCAAATTTCCCTACTTTCAGCTCACCGTTCTCTCTTGTGCCTAGTTTTGCATTTAACACCGTATATTGGTATAATTAATAGAATCAGGCGTTACTTTGCGGAAATCCATTATATAAAAGCTTTTAGAAAAATTTACTTCACAAATATCCGCGTTATAAAATAAAATGATGTGTCCTACCTAGCATGAAGAGCACCTCCCGCCCTCCCTCAATTGCGTGCACTATCCCCGTCACCACCAATCTCAGCACCGCCACTCCCAACGCCACTACACTAGGCAAGACACACCACTGACGATAATACGACACGTGTTTCGCCTCTTTTACCGTATATTGGGTTTTGGAGGAATGCATGGCTCTAGAGATATCCTCATACATTTCCTCCACCTTCTCCTCGGGGTGTGCCGAGTTGGTGAGTAAACCTGTATGACCTTTGGCGTTGCCCTATTCAAAATTTCCCTACTTTCAGCTCACCGTTCTCTCTTGTGCCTAGTTTTGCATTGAAGTCTCCCATTAAAACCGTATATTGGGTTTTGGAGGAATGCATGGCTCTAGAGATATCCTCATACATTTCCTCCACCTCTTTATCGAGGTGTGCCGAGGTAGGTGAGTAAACCTGTATGACCTTCAGCGAATACCCTTTGGTGATTCTGAGTATATGGTACGCAACCCTCGTCGACACACTCTCAATCTTTACAACATTGTTAACGAGAGACTGGTGGACGATAAATCCAACACCTCCTTGGGACAGATGGTCGCCCTCCCGGTAA